CTCCAAGTTTTCCAGACTTTCAGACCAAATCTTCACCAAATATGTTTTTTCTTCAGCTTGAGGCCTTCACGCAGGAGTACACAATATTTATTTATGTATTTATGTATTTTTTAGCATCATTGGACGAAACTTTCCTACAGCGTATTATACTTTAACGGGTCTGAGAGTCTTCCTGGTCCTGGTCCAGTTTCTAGGCCCTTAACGGTCGACTTTTAAAGCCAGAGCAGGTACGACGGTGAGAACAGAGTGAGCTTTAACCGGTCGGATGGAGAACTTTCACTCTAATCAATGAGTGAATGCTAACTGTGAGCTGGACTGTTTTTGCAGATTTTAACCTGCTGTCATCTGGTGAGAGGGGCTCAGGAGGAGGTCTGGACTTTCAGATGTTCTCCTCCTGCCTCTTGCAGACTCCTTCCCTCCGCTGCTTTATGTGAAGACGTCCACGCTGTGTCCATGTTTGTGTAGTTTTGCATCATGTGTGGCTCAGGAGGATTTTGTAATGACGTTGAGAAAGCGTGTTTGCTGTGGATCAGTCACGTCTGGCTGATACCCGGTCCGTTTATCGAAGCCGGTATTGGTGCTGATATTAGTTCTCACACCGGCTGCGTTGACCTTAGTGGCACAATTGGCGACACATACGAATACCGTGCGTGCTTGATATGGGCCGGGCTTGATATGGGCCGGGCTTGATATGGGCCGGGCTTGCACAAGACGTGGTTGCAGCGCTGGGAAGCAGCACCAGTCGACCTTTAACAGAACCCTGTCAGACGTGTATTTATTTGACTTGAACCCGTCCGTTCTGTAGATTCAGGTCTATTTATTCAGGTAAATATCCTCGATCCCCTGTTTGGACTGGCGGTTCTGCGGTTTGAAGGCCCGCCCTGTCGTCAGTCAGCCGGCTGAAGTGATAATCAGCTCTGTGGACTTTGTGCAATAACGTTCAGGTTTTTGTGCAGCTAAAAATAGCCGGCAGGTGTTTACAAGGTGCTACACTTCAACATGGTGTGTGTGTGTGTGTGTGTGTGTGTGTGTGTGTGTGTGTTATCTAAACACTTTCTTACATCAGGCCATGAGGGCCACGTTCCAAGAAACACAAGCCTGCTTCCAGCGTGTGTTTTATCCTGACATACGTGGAAATTCAGTGCATCTGGACATTTGGTTATTAAAGCGACGGCAGCAGCTCACCGACGGCTCTGCTGTGTCAACACAACCCTATCAGTGAAAAGGGAAGTGCCACTGTGGCGGAATGGAAAGCGTTTTCCCAAGGTCACGCCCCAGTTTTCATGATAGTTAATATTTGTGCTCATTGTGAGCGTCGCTGTTGGACACGTGTTTGATGGTTCTGGACGGTTTTCATGGGCCCACATGTGACCAACGCGGCAGAAAGAAGAGACGCTCGCAGCTGATTCTGTGTTTGGAGATTTGATCTGTGTGTGTTTTCATGCAGCTTCATCAACCTTTGCTTTTACTTTTACTTTTGTCCAGACCAGGTGTGAGTGTTGAAGTCAAACCTGAGCAAGAATCAACTTTTCTTCTCCAAAAACACATTTAGCCTTTAGTGGTTAAAACACATAAAGCACATTATGTTTTATGGACAGATCTGTTCATCAGTTAATCGTCTTTTGTTTGTTTAACTTTGCATAACGAGTGGCGCCGAACGATTTCATCAAATATTGCAATTTGTGATCTAATTAAAGTTGAGCTGCAGCTTGATATTCACTGTAGTAGTTTTTAACCACGTGATGCAGCGTTACTGCGTGAAACACCGTCAGAATATGACCTGTTTGATATTCTAACGCAACCAGAAGGACTGGAAGATGTTATTTGTTCATATCTTGTTCCAATGTGTTTTTATTTCTTTTTTAAATAGTCATAAGAGTTTCAACAATGATCACAAAAACTAACTGCGCTCAGTTAAATAAAGTAATAATAATAATAATAATGAAACTGTGATTATTTAACACGTGATGGGATGTCTTTGATGTTGAGGTGCCATTCATGGCTCAGAGCTTAGTGTTCACATGCCAAAATAAATAAAAATCTAGTACGAAAATAATGAAAATTAAATATTTCCTGGGTTAAGACTGTTATGAGACGTATATCCTGATTCACTCCAAGACTTGTTCTTTGCAGAGCCCCTCTCCTCCTTATTTATTTTTCTTTCATCTTCTCACTCGGCCCGATGTCCTCGGCTGTGAGTTGTGGTGACGTCCACTGCTGCTACAGCCCGGATGACGTTAACACATGATATAATATGGACTTTTATTACTTTGATTGGTCCATTTAGTTGTGTTCTACATGTAGGTAACGTATAATATTACGGATCGCTGTCAAATACCGTCGGCGTGCATGAGCAGTAACACCAGAAAGAAGCCGCGGAAATCACTTGTGTGCAGACGCCATGAGCAGTGTGTCCTTGCCAGCCAATCCTGTCCCGTGATTTGCATCATATGGTAGCAACATGCCGCTTTTGGTTACGCCTAATAGCCTAAAGCAGGCTGCAAGGTGGAGCGGTGGTTAGCACCGTGACCTCACAGCTAGAAGGTCGCCGGTTGGCGTCCCGGTGAGGACACCCGGGATCTTCCTGCGTGGAGTCTCCATGTTCTCCCCGTGCAGCATGGGTTCTCTCCGGGTTCTCCGGCTTTCTCCCACAGTATTTCCTGCTTAGAAACATTTTGGCGTTTTAGGAGGTTTTCACCAGCCTCAAAATAAAGTCACCAGCGCCGCAGAGCCCGAGTTTAGGTGACTCACCAGAACTAGAACCACCGCCAACAATAACACACGTAGCACCTGTTAAACCATCAGCACCACCATCGACAGCGTTAGCATAAGAGAACAAATATGAAACGTGAGTGTTGGATAATCTCAGAACGAGAAGAAACTGCAGCTGAAATGCGTCCGACACTTTTCCATCTGAAAAACTGCAAAGTGGTTCTAACGCTGGTTCTGTTCAGCGTGACCAAATATAGCTTCCCGCGCTGCTCGGGCCCTCTCACCAGTAGATGGGCTCTTGTGAAGTTTGGATATTGTAGCACTTAGATTTAGGACTAGTGCTCCAGTGCGCTCCTCTCTGTTCGCCCGGCGCCGTGGACCGTGGCTGTGCCCTGCAGGGTTTGGACTTTGAAGAGTAATAGCTGTAAGGTAGGAAGCTGCAGCGTGCTGCGTGCAGGATTTTGCCACAGTTGGATCAGTTTTCCACGAGCGGTTTAATGTTTTGGCACAAATCAAATTCTGACTGTTATTTTTTTTTTCATGCGATCCCAGGAAACGATATGTAGACGTTCAGATGCAGAACTTTTGCCCATCAGCAGCCCTCACGCTGCTCAGATCGGCCTCGTCGGCCTGGATTGACCCGTTTAAAACCCTCTCCGCGTTGTGATGGGCGGCCAAGAGGAAATCATTAGCGCCTCTGTTCCTGTTCACCACACCAGAGCGTGACGGGAGGGGGAGCTGGTGTCTGGGTGGTGCTCTGAACTTCCTGTCTCTTGTACTGCTGACTTGACGTCTTTTGTGTGTGTGTGTGTGTGTGTTTGTGCGTAGTCCTCGGAGCGAGTGTGTTTGTGTGTGTGGGCTGTTATGCTGGGGTCACGGTTCAGGTTGAAGTTTGGCCAACTCGGAGCCAGCGAGGAGTTACCGAGTTTATTGCTGAGACTGTGAGTCAGACAGTCGTACGGATGCATCAACCTGCGAAGCAAGGAAACGTTCAGTGGAGACACCAGAGCGCACACACACCCACATCCATCACAATATTATTGAAATCACAGGACCTCCAAGTGTGATACCAAAACCGCAGGAGCTGCAGTTCTTTGATAAAAGGAAAATGTGTCACAACACACTGTTATAAATGAAACGCTGGTGCTGCTGAGAACCCGGCCGACACATCCTGCTCTATAGGAACCGGCTTGTTTGGTGCAGATCACATCATCATCATTAGATTGTTTACAGCGGAAAAGAAAACGCAAAAATTACCATTTTCAGTACAACTGTGAATCATATCACAATAATTGCAATGTAATGCACATTGTTTATCCCCTAATACACATCCATCCATCATGTCTACACCTTAATCCTCACCAGGGTCATGGGGGGCGGAGCCTATCCCAGCTGACTCAGGGTGAAGGCAGGTTCACCTGGACAGGTAACCAGTCTATCACAGGGCTACACTTAGAGACAGACAACCAAGCACACTCACATTCACACCTACGGACAATTTACAATCACCAATTAACCTCAGCATGTTTCTGGACTGTGGGAGGAAGCCGGAGAACCCGGAGAGAACCCACGCTGCACGGGGAGAACATGGAGAAAGATCCCGGGTGTCCTCACCGGGACGCCGACCAGCGACCTTCTAGCTGTGAGGCCACGTTGCTAACCACTGACCCACCTGCAGCCCCCTAATCAACATGCATATAGAATATATAAAAAACAAGCAGCAAGTCAGGGAAGATGTGCACATAGAGAAGTTCATCTTATCAGCATAAAATAAATCACATTTTCTGATGATGATGATGATAATAACAATAATAGCTTTATTTGTGTAGCACCTCTAAGAACAACGTTCACAAGGTGCTTTGACAGTGAAACATGCAATACAAAGACAAGCAAGGAAGTCTTAAGACTTAACTAAAGCAAGTTAAAAACGACTTCACACCAAAGAACGAGGCAGCTAAAAAAGTTAAGAAATAATAATAAAAGAGAACCTGCAGGGTTCTCGCCAGCGTTCTAACAGACCTGCCCTCAGCGCTGTACCAGAACCTCCCGGGTCGACCCACTGCTGCTGCTGATGCTCTGATGAACTCGGAGTCAGAGAATGTTTTCCATTTACCAAGAACTAAAAGTGATGATGTAAAACGGCAGCTTCAGTCCAATTAGACTGATTTGGTAAACGAGCTGCCTCCAGATGACGGGTACTTTCACTGTCTCTTAAATGTGCAGCTCCATCCTTTATCTGTTAAAGCACCGCATGTGAAAGCTAAACGTGTCCCTGTGTCTGTTTCCAGATGTATGGCCGCTACACCCAGGAGCTCGGGGTGTACGCCAAAGAGGAGGCCGCTCGGCTGAGGGAGAGCGGGCAGAGGAGGTCAGGCGACCGCAGCCGGACCCTGGACCTGCTGGAGTACGACAAGGGACGCTGCGCCAAATGTCGCAGTAAGTGTTGGGATGGACGAGCTGCTGCTGCTGCTGCTGGGGTCCAGCTTCAGAGCAGTCAGAGAGCTTCATAGACTGATAAAGTTAGAAGCGTTTGGGGATTTGATAAACGGCTGGATTATGCAGCAGCAGCTGAAAAGAAAAGCTTCATTTACCAGGAAATCTGCAGGAACATGAGCAGGCAGGAGGCAGGAGCCATGCTAGAGATGGTAAAACAACTAGATAGATTAAATGGAGCTTTTAATAAAAGAAGGTTTTTCTTTAATATAACTAGAATTAAATGTCTTCATGGACTCGGTGGGGTCCACATGTTTGTTCCAGCCAGAATACCTCTGAGGTCTTTATTCGGCTTTAACTTAAACTGACTGAGTTTTATCTGACTCTTATTTATCTTTATCCACTCTGTCATGCGTTTCCTGCTGCTTATCCAGGTCCTGTTTAGAGTCCAGTTAGTCATATTTGTCAGAGTTGTTGTCACAGCTGGGAAGTGCTGACAGAAATGTGATATTAATAACTTCATGCACTCGGTAAGTAGAAGAACTTGGTATGACGCTGCCTTCTTTATCCACCTGAACTCCAAACATTTTCTGTTTTTTTTATTTTTTTTTGCTCCTGTCATGTTTTTCCTCACTGTGGGCTCATTTTACACTGAAATATAAAGTTCTGCACCTCCATGGAAACAGAACCACGACTACAGAGAACTTTAACGTGTCTTCTATGCAGTATGAAACCACGACAGGAACAATGAAAGTTTGTTTTTCACTTCGATGTCTTACAAGGGAAAGAAAACAAAATGCAATCAATAGGGACAGTATGTTAGCAGCACTGTGGGACACTCGGTCTGTCGCTGTTTGACGAGACCTGTTTACATCTTCACAACCTCCATAAACTCTGAATTGTTCACACCACTCTTACAAACATGTGTCACCGTGCTGAATCTATCAGTAACATTTAAGCCACTTCATTCGCTGAACTGATCAAGTGTGTTTTATTTTCCTCTCGGTCTCTTTTGTCGTCTCCTCTGTCAACACGACCTGCAGTCCACCTGCATTTATTGTCATGTGACAGTCACACCTGAGTGTGTTAAAACTTTTCTGTCGCTCTGAGGAGAACTTCATCGTTTTAATCATCACGGGGTGCAAACAGTTTATGAACAAGACGTGTCGTACAAACTGATTTTAGTGAAATATCACAGGTTTAGGCTCTGATTGGATCACTTTTCATGACAGAGCTGCACATTAAAGGCTGTCAGAAAGCTGAAAATCTGTAGATTCTTTCTGTTTTTACGTTTGTTGTGGCTCTGGTTTGACTTTACTTTGGTCTTTTAGAAGCAAGTCGGTGTCTTTTACTAAATTACTGGAAGTCTGGACGTGTCAAGGACTGGATGAAATATGAAAGAAGTTATTCTCTAAACCATTTTTAAGAGGAAAAGTTGAAGACTCCACTTATTAACAGTTTTTGGTGATGACACGGTTCAGAACATTTCTAGAAAAAGAAATGTGATCTTCCGTCTCGGCGACAGCGTTCGGGCCCCATTAGAAGACACCGCTGACAGGATCGCTCCATAAAGCAGCCTGAGCCGGCGGCGGCGGCGCTGCCCGAAGCAGGAGCATCATGTGGACATTACCTCAGTGGTGGGAGTGTCGTACTGAAGGCACTGTGATGGATCTGAAGCAGACGTAGTGCTTTGAGCCCGTGGAGCGTTGATCACGCTGAACGGAGCAGGAAAGGAGCTGCAGCGCCAGACAATCATCACAACAGCCCGTCGCTGTAAAACAAAATGTGTGCAGCATCTCAGGACTCACGTGAACGCTCCCGGCCTTCGTCTGTGTGCTGCTGCTGGTGATGAACAGATAATGAGTGCACAGCACACATAACAGGACGGACAGACTGTAAACACGAGTGGGGGATGTCTGCAAGATCCTGGTGGAAGATGAGATAGACCTTCTCTGACCTTTTCCTAGGTTTCCTTTCTACTCGTAGTTGACGCACATGCAAATACACACAAACCGTCGGTTCTGCACGGTGGAGTAAGTCAGCGCTTTATTTGTCCAAAGGTTTGGCTGCACCGATCGAGTCCGATTAAAGCACCCGATCGGTCGACACTTGACTTGGGAGGAATTTCTCAATTGTGTTAAAGCTGCAGCAGGAAGGCGGCCCGAGTGATTGATTGGATTTACTGTGGGTCAGAGATTTCTCACAGCTGAATTTCCCCCATGACTAAGCAGGGCCCCGGAGCGCCGCCAGAACCCTGTGAACTATGACTAATCATTTTCATCAGTGGCACCTGAAATTTAGCAGGTTTGTCTGTGTGTCTCATGAAAACATCCAGCTCCAGTGAATCAGGCAGTGAAACGCCTGATGTCTCTGTTTTCAGGACTGTTTGTAGAAACCCAGCTGTCTGCTCTGCAGTACCTGAGCGGCGACCAGAAGGCTGCCTGTGCACGGCGGCCTCACGGCGCCTGCTGATGCATGCAAGCGGTTCAGGGATTAGTAAAGTGTTGCAGCTACTGTTAAACTGCAGGTGAGGCGTTTTGGGGTGTCAGTAAATTGTAGCTTCAGAAAACACTCTGAGTTAGAGCTTCTTAAACGGAGGATTCACAGATCTTCACTTTGGTCGGAGGTGTTTGAAAGAATTGATTTGGTTGGGTTTTCATGTGGATGACAGGACACATGGTAGAAACATGTCTTGGTTTTGTGAGATACCTGCTACGTGTGGACGAGGCCGAGGTCCTGCATCGTTTACATAATGTGTGAAGTAATTACCAAAAAAAACATAGTCGGAAAAAGGGGTGCACCTAAAGAAAAAAACAATCCATAAAGTTAGTACGGCGTTCTGAACTTTCTCTGTTAGCATCACTAATCTACACTCATCCCAGAATTCAAAGCACCGACGCCCGGCTCTCTCCTCGTCGGCAGAGCGTCCTGTTTGATGAAACTTTATTGGAATTCCTTTGTGCTCATATTCAGCGCGAGCAGCCGTGACGCAGCCTGATAATTGATCTGTACGGTGCGGTCATAAAAGATGCAGAGCGGCTGATTAAAGAGTGCAACACGACTAAACACAGCGTCTGAGCCGCTTCAGGGTTCTGCTGGGACTTGATCTTTGTTTTTCCTCCGACGCCTTGTGCTTTGCGTTTCTGTCGCGACGCCAAAGGTCCAGAAGGATGAAGCCGATGTGACGTGTTAGTTACACGACTGTCATAAATTAACTTTGGTGTTAATTCTCTCTGGCAGCTCTGTCCTGGTTGTTGAACCTACAAACAGGGTTTATTGGTCAGTGTGTTCATGCAGACTTCTTTAGTGGGTTTCTCTGGAGCTTAGTTTACACCCTCGTTCCTCCGGGGGAATCCAGGTAGGGGAGCTGAGTTCTGGTTCCCTGGGGCGAGATCCTCTGGGGGGGAAATGCCAGCTGGCCTCAGCCTCGCTCTCTTTGGGTTACGTGGCTCCGCTGAGCTGAACGCCGGCCGTCCTGGAATCACAGAGCTGGCTGTTAATCGGCTCAGCTCGCTCTTCAAACACCCTGCGGCTACAAACTGTAGAAGACACGGAGCTGTTAATCGAACCGTGAGTGAAACATAACACCTGTCACATCAAATAGAGGGATCAAACCAGCTCAGGTACCAACAATACCATCATAAACCAGAAGAAGAAAATGATGATTACTAATGTGAGAATCACAGTAGCATCAGAGCAGCAGAGCGAGCAGGACCTAATGCCTGATGAGGTCTATCTGCCAGAACAGGCAC